GGCTAGATGTGAATTTATACAGCACCCAGCACAGTGGGGCCCTGATCCTGAATTAGGGCTTATGCATACTACTGCAAGTCAAATAAATAGTAACCGGTCAATGAGGCATACCATGAACGATGGTTATGTTTTTGTGACGGGTTCCCCCCAGTGGGAACTGGGGTATCACTAAGCCTGCCTGACCCACCAGCGTGGGCTCCCTTTACACTGTACTGTTGCAACAAGCCCTCAAGCCCCCTCCAGCACACATACAGGTAGGGACACACGCAGCTGCAACTACATACAGACGCTGAGATCAGCTCTCCGTGGGAAGGCTTCAGCTAACGAACTGTCCAGATACTCAACTGCACACCCCCCATCTGGAGGGCAAATCCAAAATTATACTGTCTTGCACTGCATAGAGATCTGTACAGCATAACCTCATGAAACTTTCCCCCTCCCGCAATGTGGAAAGGAAATATACAATAGCTTTTAGCCCCAAGTTATAACTTCCACACACTGGTTTGTGATAAAGCAAAAACAAATTTATTAACTACAAAAGATAGATTTTACGTGATTATAAGGGATAGAAAAGAGATCAAAGCAGATTACCTAGCAAATACAAAAAAAAACACAATCTAAGCTTAATATAGTACAGAGATTGGATAGGAGTAGAAAATTCTCACCCTAAATGATGATTTAAGCTGGCTGCAGGATCTTAAAGGGCAAGCTGTATTTGCTTGCAGCTTAAAACCCCAGGTATTCCTTTCACAGGCTAGAAATCCCTCTAGCCTGGGTCCAGCCCTTCCCCCCAGTTCAGTCCTTGTTCTTCAGGTGTTTTCAAGAGTCTTCTTTGAGTGGGGAGTCAGCGAAGAGCCTCAATGATGTAACTCCCCTGCCTTAAATAACTTTTGTATATGACAGGAACCCTTTGTCTCCAAGCTTGGTTCCCACGCCTTTCAGTGGAAAAACACTGGTATTCCAAGATGGAGTCAAGTACCAAGTGATCTGGTCAGCAGCCATGACTCAGACGCTGTTTGTAGCATCCTCAGGAAGGCTTCCCGGTGGGAGATGAACTTCTTCTAAGGCCTATTGTTTTCTCTAATGGCCCTTCCTAGCCAGTCATCTAGACTGATTGCATTCTGCCTAGTGGGTGTTTCCCAAGTGTAATAGATGTACAGACAATATTCAGATACCAAATGATACAAGCATATAAATAGGATAATCATAGTCAGTAAATCATAGCCTTTTCAAGGATATCTCACATGATCTATCTTGCATAAAATACATCATAGTTATGCCATAATCACATAATAATAATATCTCTATGAAGAATATGGGGCATAGTGTCACAGTTTTGTTATGAAATTACATTATGTGACAGACCCAGACTAGTGGGGTACAGGAGTCTGGTAGAGGGCAAATATACTGGTCACTGGATGAGTAGTTTTCTGTT